CCGCTTTACAACAGTGGCAGGCTTCGTCACGGGAGACTTGATGGCCGGCGATGCAACTACAGCCCCGCGAACAGCCCTGGTCTTTCCTCGGAGAATTCTTTTGGGTTGTACTGTTCTGGCCGGAGGACTCACTGATGTAGTTTCATGTACTGATGCCTCGGTAGTTTTTTCTATAGGCTTAACCTTGGCGGGGCGACCTCGAGTTGAACGCACAGGTTTCGGTGAGGCCTTGGTGAGTGGCGTTGATACAGTTTTTGCAGGCGTTTTCTTTGCCACCCGACCTCGTCTACGTGAAGCTAGAGTCACACTACTAGAGGGACTTGGGTGTGAAGACAATTTAGCTGGAGTCGACAACTCAGCAGTGGCTTTTACCGACCTCAACGCTGGTCTTTTTGGTGATTTAGTGGTCTGGCGTGATTTCGCTGCTCTTGTGGGGCGTCGAGAAGTGGTTCGTCTCTGGGATCCTGACTTGGCTGGAGAACGGAGCCTTTTTAAAAGGGGCGATTTTGGTGACTGAGCTGCGAGTCCTCTGTTTCGTCTCAATTTTGGCCTTTTTGTGCTGTCAGAAAGTACAGAATCATTCGTGTTTGCTTCTGTCGATGGTGTCTTCCGCCCTCTTAACGACCTAACCGACTGCTTTAGACTCTTAGTTTGGATTGAATTTGGGAATTGAGCCGCCGTTAGGACGTTAGTGTCCGAGAGAGAAGAACGCGCAACCGATGGTGTCTTTAGCAGTTCTCGAACGCCTGAAAAACGTGGAGAAGGCTGCGATTTCGGCGTCTTAAGTAGGCTACGAACACCCGCCAATTGAGGGGAAGGTCGTGATTTCGGTGTTTTCAAGAGTTTATGAACGGCCGATATCCTCGGAGTCTTCATTAGCTCCCGAGCAGCCGACAATCGAGGGGAAGGTCGTGATTTTGGTGTTTTCAAGAGTTTTTGAGCGGCCGATATCCTCGGAGTTCGCTTGGGGGTCGGCGTCTTCAGTAGCTTATGAACACCTGTTAGTCGCGGGGTCTGTTCTGATCTTGGGGTCTTCCCGAGCCCTCGTACGGCCAAAGTCCTCGGAGTTGGTTTTGGCGTCGGTGTCCTTGTCAACGCTTGTGCTTCCGTTAATCGAGGAGAAAGT